ATATATATATATATATATATATATATATTATTCTATGATTCTGGATCTTACATGTCTGGATGCCATGTGCAATTTTGTACAATACCTAACACAATTCCATATAGTCTATCTCCATTTCATTTCATAGCAGCTGTGGGATAGAGTAGACTTTATTTGGTTTTTGGTTTTTGGTGTTTTTAGGAGGAAGAAAGGCAGGGGCAGAGGGAGAGGGAGAATCTTAAGCAGGCTCTACACCCCACTTGGGGCTTGATCTCACAATTTCACATGACCCTAAGATCATGAACTGAATCAAAATCAAGAGTCGGATGCTTAACCCACTGAGCCACCCAGGTGCCCCTGTTTGATATTCTTTAAGCAACTATGATGTTTCCACAAGTGGAGTGGACCGATGGAGGCCTAAGGGACACCAGAACTTAACCAAGAATGCTCCGTAAGCTTGTTGCTAAGATGAGAATTTGAACATGGTTTCTCGGCTGACTCCCAGCCCCATACTTTTCCTGGAGCAGAGGTTATCAAATTGAAGTGTGCATAAGAATCATCTCCATGTGCTTATTTAGTATATGGTTTCCCAGGCCCCTGGCAGAGATCAAGAGTCAGCAGGGCGCAGGAATCTGCTCTTTCAATAAGCCCTGTCCATAACATTGTGTGTTAGCTATAATCAGATTTTAAAAATTAAAAAAGTAAATAAAAATAAACAAGTCCCGCCCAGTGATTCTGATACGGGGGACCAGGATCATGAGTTGAGCAAAACCGCACAACCTAGATTGAGCCACCTCCAAATCCAGCCCGTCCAGTCTCCGAGGTCAGAGGCAAGTACATCTTCCCTGCGGTGGGCAATCCACAGGGTGGGATCTGCTCTGACAGCACCGGGGTTTTTCCTTGAACTCGAGGCTCAGCCACTGCAGTTCCCTACCCTGACCCTGAGGCTTCCATTTGATGGGTGGAGTCCCTTGAAATCAAAGGGACTTTGAAAAAAGAAAACCGAGAAGGGATAAAGACACATCATCTCGATTTTAAGCTCTCCATAAAAGAGGGGAAACCTGTATTCGGTTCCTGAACACAAACTGTTTCCATTGATGAGAGAAGGAACACTGAGGATGGCGAGAAGTTATGAAAAAATTCCAAGATGTATTGTCCAACTAACAGCCACAGTCAGTTTTAACTTTGTGATGTAACTTTTTAAAATGTTCCTGATCTCTTGCCTGAGGCAGCCTTGAAGCACTAAAGTCTGGCCATCCTCATTTCCCTCCTCCTGTTCTGAGGGCTGTTTTCTTTCTGTGGCTTACCTCAGGCGGGCTGCCCTACATTCCCCCTGTGTCCTCCCTAGCAAGGGGCCCACTGGGCCCATCAGATCCGTTTCTGGAGTTACAGCCCTGCGCCACACGGAGGAAATTCAGCTCTTCCAGCGCGTAACCAAGGCTGTTGTTTTTTGTTTTGTTTTGTTTTGTTTTGTTTTTAATTCAAACAATACACATTGATTCCTAGTTAGGGGAATTCCCACCTGCTAGAACTTGGCAGAGCTTTGACCGCAAGTCTTTACTTTTTTTTTTTTTTTTAAGATTTTATTTATTTGACAGAGAGAGACCCAGCGAGAGAGGGAACACAAGCAGGGGGAGCGGGAGTGGGAGAAGCAGGCTTCCCGCCGAGCGGGGAGCCCGATGCGGGGCTCGAACCCAGGACCCTGGGATCATGACCTGAGCCGAAGGCAGATGCTTAATGACTGAGCCACCCAGGCGTCCCTGCAAGTCTTTACTTTAGAGATGGAGAAGCAGAGGCCCAGAGAGGCAGAGTGACTTTTTTTAACCACAGAGCTATCAGAAGTCGAGTTAGGGTTAGCTGAGTCGTGTGGCTCCTCTTAGGGAGCTCGAAATTTAGTCTCCGTCACCTTCTCTCCCTCTCTTAAACCTCCTCACCCCGATTCTGAACCCCTCCTCCCCTCCCACTGAAAATGTGGGTGTCAAGTGTCCAACAGGCCCACCCAGTCCTTGAGGTGCTGCAAAGGGGGAGTTGGTGCAAGGAGCGAAGAGGCGCTTGCCACTGCATCTGTTTGCCTTTCTTCCTCTTGGCCATAAGAACCTGTGTTGGCCGCACACCAGCCTGCGTGCCTGCTGCTGGATCCGTGGGCTTCCAAGCCCGCCCTGTGACCCCAGTCAAGGGTTCGCTGCTTGGGGTACCTCAAATTGAGCACACCCAGAGGAAGTGTTGAAAGCAAAGAACTTTTTATTATTTGTTACAAGTAAGGAGACAGGGAGAAAGCTCTGTCTCCCCATGGAGTTAGTACAGGAAGTTTGATTCAGTGCATGGGGAGGGGTGGGCACGGGGGGCTTACAGAGGCACTTCTGGTTCAATTCTACATGCCGAGCACATCAGCATGCTAGGGCAAACATCGTATGTTCAAAAAAATGGCACAAAACTCCACCCATAGGAAGAGATCTTAGTATTATAATGAGCTAAAGATAACTTCAGGACAACTCCGGGGGGCGTCTGTGCTGGTCCTCGTCCAACCCGGTTCCAACTGGCTCACGTAAGGGGCTGTCGGGCGAGACACAGCTAGCGAGGGGCTCTCGGGTGAAACACCTGCTTGGTTGTGCCCTGGGCTGGCACTGTTCGTTCTGCAAAACAAAACACAGTTCTCCCCAGCTGTTGTCCCTTCCCCTCCTCCCTTCTGCTGAGAGTGTGCAGCCCTCTTATTTGAGTAACTTCCTGTGACATCCTAGCCAACAGCCCCAGCAAGTGGCTGGGCTGGAGATGATCTCTGAGCTCAGCTCGGGCCCCCACTCCGTTTGCTTGATCTCACGGCCTTCTGCTGCCCTGCAGTGAGCCCTGTAAGCCTTTCTCCTGTCTGCCCCGGCTCATTCCAGCTTTCTCCACACCGGCAGACTTGAGAGCTGTGGGCCCAGCACAGGGTAAATACGTGTTTGTTCAATGTGAGCTATTGTGATTAGCCTCACGTGCGGAGAATCACCTCGACTGAACTCGCAACACTTGAACAGAAACCAAGAGTAAGTGGTCCTCCTGCCAAAGGATTTCTTTCCAGGGGAAGCTCTCTGAGGGCCCTGGAGTGATGACTTGCAGAACTTCTGCTATGTCACAGAGAGACCAGGGTACAAGAAATCTAAAGACAACATGTTGGCAAGCACAGGCTGCTTACATCACAATAGAAAGCAGGATCTGGTCTTTCTAATCTGGTTTGCATAAAACTGCCCAGGAACCCAGCTGTTGCATGGAGTGAGGGGACCCTGGGTCTCCTCAGCATTGACTGTATGTATCCAATAGGTTCTCTGTGGTTATATTAATAAGGCTGGGCCCTCACGAGAGTCCATTGCTAGGAAAAGGCTTTGCTCTCAGGGCATGCAACTGGGAAGCAGGCATTCCTCAAGGTTCCCTTGGTGACCCCCTTTAAAAATCCCTGCATCCTCCTCGCCCTTTCCCAGGGAACGTGCAAAGGCAGCAGTGATTTCTATCCCGAGGATCGTCAGAGAGGTCCCCTGAGGGCTGTAAGCTTCTCCCTGCCACACGACACCATTTTCCCGGCCTGAACACAAGTACGCACAAGCACCACGAGACAAACTGCTTTAAACTCCTTTCCAATTTACTATCGAACAACAGGGCAAGGGATCACAAAATTGCCTTCTGAAATAACATTTCCCTTTCCTGTCCCTGGGTTTTGCAGGCCTGGTTCTGACAACTCCTGAAGAAAAGAGAGGATTGGGGAGCAAAAGCACTGAGTTCTACAGCGAGTTATGGTTCATCGTGTTAATGGCGATTCTAGGCTTGATCTTGTTGGCCATTTTTCTGTCTCTGATACTACAAAGAAAAATCCACAAAGAGCCATATATCAGAGAGAGACCTCCCTTAGTACCTATTCAGAAGAGAATGTCTCCACTGAGTGTCTATCCACCCGGGGAAACCCATGTGGTATGTCTCTGAAAGCGGGCCCCATTTCCCTATCACTGGGCTAGAATACTGGCTTTTATTTAGGTGGAAATATTTCCAGAGTCATGGTAACAAGGGATTAGATGACGGCCCCATTTCCCTATCACTGGGCTAGAATACTGGCTTTTATTTAGATGGAAATATTTCCAGAGTCATGGTAACAAGGGATTAGATGACAGTTATGTTTGATAAAATATGGGATCCAAGGAAGGCTAATAGTGACCTTATGAAAGAGACCACCAGAGAGCTTTCTTGTCCCTTCCTCCATGTGAGGACACAGCGAGAAGACAAGAAGACCCCCATCTGTAAACCAGGACGCAGGCACCTACCAGACACTCCATTTGCCGGCACCTTGAGCTTGGACTGCTCAGCCTCCAGAACTTGAGAAATAATTTCTGTTGTTTATAAGCTACCCAGTCTATGGGATTCTGTTACAGCAGCTCAAAGGGACAAAGATACCCGGGAAGTTTTTAAAAACGCCATTGCCTGGGCCTTATCCCAGAAACTCTGGTTCCATTGTTTTTGGGTGGGGCCTGGGGATTGGTGGGGCCTGGGAATGAGGGGCTCCTCATAGCTCCCAACCACCTGCTCCTAAGATAGGAGGTCAGGCAAAGGTCTTGGGGGTGAGGCCACACGTGTGGTAGTGCAGGGGGATCGTGGACCAGAGCACTCATTGACAGGGTAAAAGGTGACTGAATTTGAAGGTGCACTCTGGTGTGGGACTGTGTCTACGTGGAGGAGGAAAGGCTGCAGATTCTAATTCCCACCAGGCACCAGTCCTTTCCAAGTCATGCGTCCAAAGGGCTGCATCTGCCTGAGAAATCGCTTTTTTTCCAGTTTGCACAAAGGTTGAGCTCGTGGCCAGCTGTGCAGCTAAAACTCTGATTACCACTTCCACTGTGTGGGGAAGTTCTTCCACAAGAAGCAATCTCAGACACCAACTGGGTGTCCTACAATTCAACTCAATTCTGACTCTATCTACCGAGAGATGGCGCCAGATTTTACAAGTTAAGGGTTCAGGTCTCCAAGACTGTCCCCACCCCCCAACTTCAGACACCAATCGTAAGTCCAGGTTGTCACCCGGCTTCTGACAGACCAGCTACAGATTGGAGTTTGCAGTGGCCCCTCCTTGGGTTCAATTAGTTTGCAAGAGCAGCTCACAGAACTCAGAGAAACATTTTACTTACTGGATTACCAGTTTATTACAAAAGGATAAAACTCAGGAAAAGCCAGATGGAAGAGATGCATAGGGCGAGGCATGGGGAAATGGTGCTGAACTCCCACACCCTGCTGAACTCACCACTCCCAGAACCTCCACGTGTTCACCAACCCAGACGCTCTTAGAACCTCACAATGGAGGCTTTATCACTTAGGTGTGATTGATTAAATCATTGGCCATTGGCTACTGATCCAAGCTCCAGTCCCTCTCCCCTCCCCGGAGGTGAGGGGTTGGGGGTATGTTGAGGGGGCACTGAAATTCCCAGCTTTCTAATCACAGGGTTGGCTCTCCTGACAACCAGCCTTGGGTGGTGCCCAAAGTCACTCATTAACGTAAAAAAAGACACCTTTGTGGCTCTCCGCACTTAAGAAATGCCGAGGGTTTCAGAAGCCCTGTGCCAGACATGGGACTGAAGACCAAACATATATTTATTATAAATCACGGTGTCACAGCCACACCCAAATTAAGCACAGAAGCCTAGTCAAACCGGCTGAGTGGCAACACTTTAAAAAATAGAAATGAGTGAATTGTCTGCCATCCAGATCTCTTCGCTTGTCCAGGACCCAACAACAAACAGCGGTTAAGGCGCTGACAAAGCCATATCATGGTCAAGTAGTGGAAGTGGGGCCACAGACGGACAGTCATCCCTCTAAGGCCCATGGTTTGTGTCTGGGGCAGGGAGCAGCCATGGGACAGCGAATTGGTGGTGGAGAAGCCAAGACAACGCCCCCACCCTCTGGTCCTCAGCTCTCACCAACCATACCTCCTCCCATTCTCCTTGCTTTCCAAGCCTCCTTCCTCCCTGAGCGCATCAAGCTCCTCCCACTGGGCCATCGCTCCTGCTCTTCTCTTGGGAGGCTCCCACTCTCACTTCATTCAGGTCCCTGCACAAATGTCACTTCCCCTTCCATGTGAAATTAAATTCCCTAGCTTCTTTTTTTATTTTTTTTAAAGATTTTTTTTTTTTTTTTTTTTTTTGATAGAGAGAGACACAGCGAGAGAGGGAACACAAGCAGCGGGAGTGGGAGAGGGAGAAGCAGGCTTCCCGCTGAGCAGGGAGCCCGATGTGAGCCTCGATCCCAGGACCCTGGGATCATGACCTGAGCCGAAGGCCGACGCTTAACGACTGAGCCACCCAGGCGCCCAAATTCCCTAGCTTCTTAGTCTACTTTCCTTTTCTATTGTACCATCACCACAAGATACCATAGTAGATATGCTTGTCTGACTCCTCAAAGAGAATGTGAGCTCCCCAAGAGCAGGGATTTTGTGGGCCACTTACTTTTATACCCCAATACCCAGAACAGTGCCTGGCATATAATAGATATTCCACAAATGTTTGTGAAATGAATGAATATTGAATGGCCAACTCAAACCACCAGCCATGTGCTACTATTCAGTGTATATTCATCAGAAGATCCGCATTGAAGAGCAGATACTTTAAAGTTTTCCTTTGTGGAAGAGTAACTCTCTCTCTGAGGAAGCCATGTTCTTAGAAAAAAGAAGCACCACCACTTCCAGAGTTCAGAAGTGCATGGAAGGGCCCAGAGGACCTGAGGCCACTCTAGCCTGGGGACATCAGCTAAATCAACCCTGGGCCATATGGAGTACATGGAGAATGTGGAAGAGAAACTCTGGAGCTCTGCTGGGTACATCTACTCTCTAACGTGAAGTGTGCTTCCAGGAAAACTTCCCCACATACCATTAGTGTAACTCATTTCAGTGATCAAATCTCTTGTCTCTTGACCCATACCCTATAAGAAGGCACCTCTGCCTCATAATCCTTCACAAGGAGGAATCCAGTTTTGTCCGCTTGGCTAACTGAGGGATCAAGAAGCAATCACATCATTCCAATGGGAAGTTACTCTGGATGGTACCATTGCTCACAGTTCTCATGAGTCTTGTCAAGCTTTGTTTCATCAAAGTGAAACCCATGAACTATCAGTATCAACATCACATAGGAGCAGGACCTGAAGCTCTGAGAAAGAAACCAAAGAGTCTGCTATTTCAACCAGCACTTGGGAAGTCAGATGCACAGTAAAGTCTGACAATAGTTATAAATGAGTTAAAAATATAATACATAGAATACAAGGCCTGTAAGCAGTGTGTATAGTCTCATGACCAATGAAAACAGGTGGGGGGATTCCACTTATATGAGGTATCTAAAATAGATTCATGGAAGCAAAATATGGTGGTTGCCAAGCTGGGGGAGGGGGGAAGGGGTATTGCTAATTAACAGGTATAAAGTTTCAGTTCTGCAAGATGAAGACGTAGGTTAATAACATGTACTTACAAGCCTTCTGATGCTTTAAAAAAATTTTTTTAAAGTAAACCATTCTCACAAAGTTGGAAGAATATTAGTGAAGGTTAGTCAGATGAAGGAGAGTAGACTTCACATTAGTAGAGCAAAATAAAGAGCCATATTTTGTGTCCATGGGCTCCAGATTCAATGACTAAGATTCTGAACAGGATCAAGAGGGATCCACCTGCTCAGTGTCTCAGATTGACTTTCTTTTCACTTGGGTAGGTGGATGACAGTTATCCCTGAAACACACACACACACACCCTGAGATGTAGCTCAGAATGATTATATGATTATGCTATCATTGCAGAAACAAAGAATTTGTTTTATGGTCATTTTGTTTGTTCCAAACACTAACTGATGCCTCCCCATTTGTTCTCAGTTTGACTCTGTGGCCGATATATCTGATCTGTCAAGCAATGTTACCCTAAAAAGCTACACCATGCACTTTGAGGTACCTCTGTGTGCTGCATGAATGCATGATCTTTCACATGATGTGTTGACTGCACAATGAAAAGCAGGAACATTTCGTTGATTGGACCATCTAAATCAAACCTCAGATATTTGGAGTAGCTAGATTTTCTTATGGCACATTCGAGTTTCTAATCATATAGGGCCTTTGTCTTTCTGATGTTAATACAGGACCTGATTTATTTTGAAGGCTGAGTTTCATAAGGAATAGAACAATATGAATGAGAAGAGAGGGTGAGAAGAGAGGGTGGGAAGAGTCCATTTCCTTCCACAAATCCAGGAATTTTAAAATATATAATACAACCGTGCTCACTTGGCAACCATGAGAGACCATTATTAACTTTGCTATGGGAAAGCATTGAACTCAAGACACAGGCTCTGTGGTGACACTCATGAAGGGATTACTTTGTTAACCCAACCTCTATCTCCTTCACCCCACCACTTCACAAAGCAGCAAGCTCTTATCTACAGGGAACAACAGCCAAAGCACTAGGGCATGAACTCTCTAGGTGCCAAGAACACTGGGTGTCTAATATGACTATTACTTTATCATCTCACCCTTACCAAGAAACCAGGGGCCACAGTATTCCAGATAAGCTAAGTTCTGTAGTAGGATATGGTGTGTTCCTTCATTGACAATGTGTGACACACAGTTTTCTGTCCTATTTCAAACCCATTTTCTTCAGACTCTAATCACCAACAGCAACTTTCTTTTCAGGGATTAGCTGATACCAAAATTCCCCGGTCCGGGACACCCATCAGTATTAGGAGCAACCGGAGCATATCCGTACTTCGGGTCCCAAGTCAGAGCCAAATAAGCCAAACCTATTCCCAAGGCTCTCTCCCTCTCAGTGTCAGCCAACTCATGGACATTCAAGACAAGAAAGTCTTGATTGATGACTCGCTGTGGGAAACCATCATGGGCCATGATAGTGGATTGGTGAGTTTTGAGCATACGATGTCAGCCTTTAACAAAATACTTACTGAGTACTTTTTATATTAAACTGATAGAACTATCAATCAGTGGCAAACACTATTGACAGTGAATGCCCTAATCAATGATGATTGGCTTATTTTTCAGTATGTGGATGAAGAGGACCTGATGAATGCCATCAAGGGCTTCAGTTCTGTGACTAAAGAGCACACCACATTCACGGACACCCAGCTGTGAAGGATGGAAACTTGCAAGACAAAAAGCTGCAAGACCTGCTCCATACCCCCTCCCCACCGGGTTGTCACTGACTGACACACCATACATGCTAAAAAGCATCGCTTCTTATTCTGTAATCCTTTTTTAAAAAACAAGGATTGTTTTTGAAATTGTTCCTCCTTAATAGAGGTCTGTTTTTCTGGTGGTCTGAAATAAGGGATACTATCAGTATGGAAATACTTATTTTGCTCTTATTTGGTGGAAGCTAAATAAGCATGTAATTTTCATTTGGCTCAAACAGTGACTCCATTGGTTAAATGAATAATTAGTGACAACTTCAAATTGGCCCACAGTTGTTACAAGTAAGTGAAGTTACTAGTTTAAAAACAAAGCAGTTTTTTTCTGAGAGGATGTCACTACTCCTCCTTTCAATCCCTTATTCCCATGCAATCCTGTGAGAACACGATCCTGTAAGAAGAATTCTCATGATCATAGCTACAAAATAAAATGCCAGTTTCAGGCCAAAAGCTGAACCAGTTAGAGAAAAACAAGCTACACTGAGGGATACACACTGGACTGAAAGTTCAATTTAGTGGCAATGTTTAGGGATAAGTACCAAACTTAACTGAAAAAAAAAAAAGTTTTCACCAACCTTTTAACAGAGCACTGCATAAACTTATAAACCTCTGTTCTTGCATTTATGAATCTTCTGAAAAGGACGAAAGGGCTATTTCCCACGTGTTTTACATGGTTTTGAAACTACAGTACTTTCCAGAAAATTCTGTCAATTCGCTGAATACCCAGCGATGCCGACATCTTCAATTTAACCTTTCACATATTTGCATTATTCAATTAGCCTATGTGGAATTTAAAAAGGAAACATTTTGTGCTCCTTCCAGCTTTGAAATCGTTTAAATTAACATTTATACATAAATGTTACATAAGCCTGTATATTCTATGTATAGCTATGTGTCTATGACTCTGGACTGTGTCCCTTCATTTCAGAGAACTGTTTTAGCCCTCGAGTCATTAAGAGCGGAGGATATTCCACAGTTCCAATTTCCATGGGTCAAAAGTTTGTCATCTGCTCTATTTGGATTAGTCATTGGTGAAAGTGTTACAGCAAAAAACATTTTTTTTCTAAGTCATCAACATAAAAAAGGTATTTAAGTTTGTTCTTCACGGAAAACATTAAAAAAACAAAAACAAAATGAAACAAACAAAAACAACTGTCTTCCTATTCTTAAAGGTCTACTTAATGATTCCAGGAAACTATTTTGAATCTATAGGTCTCATACACGATTGTCTGACAGTATTTTGTGAGTTAATCCCGGGGTAGGTGGAGTTTCCCAAAGCTAACTAGCAAAAATTTGTAAAATAGAGGATAACATTATTCTGCCTCAAAACAACTCAGATTGTGGACTCTGGGGGGGGTTACTGAGGCTTTAACCAAATCTGTGAAGAACAGCTCGTCAGATTGATCAACTCCCAATAAACCTTGCCAACTCTAAGTGTCAAAAGCACAGACCAGTCTTAAACAGAAGTTCTGCCCCCTCGTTAGAACTACTATAAGAAAACGAATCTGAAATAATTGTGCACCGTTGGCAGTGGATGTACAAATTATAAGATTTTTTTTTTCTCGCCAAAAGTTTTATATTTTCTTAAATCGAAACACGGGATTGGCTAATTTAGTTTACTGGTTTTAATTCCATTTGTTGGTTCTGGGTCAAGAAGTCGTTTAAAGCTGGTACAAGTGAGCCTTAACCAAGGCTGAGTTTCTGAGTCACACGAGCTAAAGGTACGTAGGGAAAATGTGCTTTTTTTCCAGTTATAAACTTGCATCTTTATCCTTCGTCTACTCTTCTGCAAATAGGATTTGCTGGTCACAGGTGGATTTAGGAGATTGAGGTCGTCCTCATTTTTGAAAAATTAACTAGATACCTTTATCACAATTGAAAATTTCTATAAAATGGTTTCCTCACATTGCTACTTTTTAAGATTTTATTTATTTATTCATGAGAAACAGAGAGAGAGGCAGAGGGAGAAGCAGCAGGCTCCCCTCAGAGCAGGGAGCTGGACACAGGGCTTGATCCCAGGACCTTAGGATCACGACCTGAGCCAAAGGCAGACAATTAACCAACTGAGCCACCAGGCACCCCCTATCACAATTTAAAACCTAAAGAACACAAATAGAGAACTGCAGGGGACTTTATATTAAATCATTCTCCATTTAAGCTAATTAGACTTTTAGTTATTACATGAATTCATTTAGCTGTATCATTTACGTTGTGATCCCATAGCTGGACGGAAGCTTCTATGGCTCCCACCAAGAACATTGCCCCCTGTTAACACTCAGAACCTTACTTTCATCTCTTTCAGAGAAGCCCAAGATTTCGTTATTTTAAGTGGTATTGTGTGCTAAGCCTCGTTGAAGTGTAGACGCATCCCTAGAGACTGATTCAATTGTCTGCCACGGGCTGAGGCATCAGTGCTTTTCAAAGTTTTCAGGGGTTCCAGGGTGGAGAGCCAGGGGTGGAAAGCAACCGAGATGGTTGCTCATGGGCTGAGCGATCGGGCACACCACTCCTCCCGGACTGAGCAAACGATGAGCAGGTCTCTACGAATCCCTTTAAATTGGTTCTGAATCTCCTGACACAGGTCTGACCACTTGCAGAGGCCACATTCCCAGCTTCGGAACTACTGTTATTCCTAATATATCAGCTGTTTGGTATGAGTGGGTAGCTATGTTTTTATAAGCTCTATTAAAAATTATATTTATAGATGACTTGTCATTTCCACTAAATGGAAAACCTAAATATGAATCTGTCAGTGTACCTGATGCTGATCTAAAAATCATGCTGGCATCAATATAACTCTTCTTGAACAACCTGTAAATAAAACATAGGCCAGATGGAATAATTCAGTGATAAGGAACTTAATTATGTCACATGAGTAGTTTATTTCCAATGCACAAATATCATGTAAATTCATCTCAAGATGGTTTAATTGTTCAATGTAAACCAAGTTTGATTTATGAAAACACACTGACAGCTCTGAGTTATATTTATAATTTACACATAAATAATGATGATAAAGGTAAGCCCATTTAAGAAAACAGGATGTTCTGGATCATCTCTCAACCATCGATGTCCATTAGGATCAACGGTGGTGCTTTTTTTTCAAAAGCGTGGGTCCCACCCACCAGATTCGAACTGGGCAGGTCTGGAGGGAGGCCCCCCGCAGTTGCCTGTGCGTACCCTGAGGTCAACGTCATGTTCTCAGCCTTGATGAGAAAGCCGGTAACAGGACCACAGGCTCCCGAAACAGGCAGACATGAGTTCAAAAGTTGGCTCAGTAGCTGACAAGCCTTGGGGCTGGCTAAGTTATTTCTCCTCAGTGATCACACCTATGAAATGCGGGTGGCAATGCCTCTGCAACAGGTATGACAGTACTTCTGAGAACTCTCAAGTACAGAATTAGTTGACACTCTCTTCATTGTGAAAATTCTAATTCTGTTCTTGTTTTTCAGCAAAGTATACAGATTCAGCTCAAGTTTTTTGTTTGTTTTTTTTTGGTGACAAAAATACCTAATGAGGTAGGTAGAAGGAAAACGCTTAGGCTTGGCAGGGATCATCTGCTCCAGGTGCCAAAATGGCAGCTAGACTCCAACCCCTGTCTGAGCATCAAGGTTCACACTCTTGGGAGTGAGAGAAATAAAAAAGATCTGACTCGTAGTAGACTGCAACCTGTGGTAGAGTTGAGTTGCCTTTTTATGGGATTTTACTATATAAGAGTCTCCTCCACCCCTGCCTCCCCCATGGCCTTTTACTCTTGGAAAAGGCTGGTTAAATACAATTTTTTCGTTCATTTTCTTACTTGCCCACCCACCTTTTACATGACTGTGATAAGGAGAAAGAAGGCTCCAGAGAGATTGACAAATCCTTAGCGATGCGGCAATGACGTTTTGCCGGACCCTTCCTCTCAGTGAGAATGTAAGTCAGCCTTCGAGTGTGTTCCCGGCCCCTCTGCCCTCCCCACTTCTGACCGCGGGAAGGAGACTCGACCCAACGAGGTGTACTTTGCAGGTGTACCTCAAACAGCATAACTACTCCTTAAATAACCAACAACACATAGTCTTAATCATTTTTATTAGACTTCACTGATAAATAAATACAAGAGAGGTGTTGTGAAACCACTAGCAATATAGTAAACTTTAAAGAATTTATTTCAATTTCACTCACTTATATTTCTTGGAAGGGGAATATATACATTATTCACCAGTAAATGCTGAATGCTTTAAATTTACAATTGCCCTATGTGCAGAAACTTGACAATTATTCCAATTGAATGAAAAAAAGATAAAAAAATTTTTGTTCTCATAATTCAAAATATATTTTAAAATAACATTTGTATAGCAGCCAAAACCCTTAACCAAAAGTTGAGAACTGCAGTCTCAGAAGCTTAATAAAATGGCCACATTCTGACTTAATTATTTTCATTATTAATAGTTGGGCGGGAAACACACGGCCCCTAAATCAAACAAGGCAGACCGACAACTAGCACAGTTTCCCTTCTGGGCACTGACAGCTCTAACCTTGATTATTATTTTTATCTTTCATCTGTTCAAACACAGATAATTGCTCCAACTTTAAAGAAAGTTTAAATGGACTTTGGGTATTTAATATTGGTGATGCTTGCTAAGATTTAAGAACTCCAAAAATGAGAATCAGAAAATGACCCATGATTTAAGAATACCTGAAGGGACTGCCTACCACACAGTGTAAATTGGTGTTCAACATCAATAGTGTTTCTGAATTAGATGATATTTTTTCACAAACATAGCACCTCATTAAATATCTGGTAAACACATGGCAATCACAATAAGTGTTGGGAGACTATCCGAAGAGATTTAATGTGATTCACTTCACGTAACAATGAAAGACAAATCTCAAGCATAATCAAGATTAGGAACACAATCTGTTGGTCCCCGTGCCCTTAGGGATGCTCATCTATAGTGGGCACCATCTTATTAAGACTTGGTACGTTGCTTCCAAAATCCAGAGAGTAGCTAAACATTGAAATGGACTCTTGCTTTACAAATGATCTGTTAAATGTACTTGTAAAACTAAAAAAACTTTCCAAAAGGTCCAAAGAGATAGAATTATTTTATCTCCTTACTCCAGG